TGTGGAAATTCACCGAGGTTTCCTCTTCCATGTAGATATTGAAATACTTCGTCCATAGAAGTATTTTAGTGTTGGCAGAAGGTTTCTCATACCTGTCTTACAAGGCCTGCAATAATTCTTTCGTTGTCATCTGTTTCGCCACCCGACTTCATACTCTCATTGATAAAGACATTCTGATATTTACAACGATCTGGTCATCCATTTTCCGATAATCCTTGCAGGTCATCTGCGCTGGTCTATCCCACGAAGTCTTGTGTATCCTCTTACACATAAGAAGATCCTACTTGCATCTTCCAAAAGCTGAAATTCTCTCCAGTGAACTTCATAGCATGTTCATAGTAATAGTGTGCGTGTCTCCCATGATCTGTAACCCCACAGCTCTACAACCCCACAGCTCTAATACCACTTGTTGGGAAATTAATAGCCCTGCATAATTCCCCTTCCACATGAATATCCAAACACATACCACAATATGCAAATAAGTAAGAAAACTATAAAACACAAGAATACGACTCAACAAAATTATATTGGTTCACCACTAATGGCTATGTCTAGTCTTCCACTTAGATGTGGGTAAGCAATCTAATACAATTACTTAGGAACAGGAATGTAAAACTCACAAGAATCAAGATACAGTACTCTGAATACGTTAATCTTGATTTGCCCCAATGCCTCTACCAATAACTTGAGCATCTGCCTTAAAACTGCCACAAAAAAACCGTCTGAGAATCAGCAGAAACGGCTCCAATTTCAGCTGGAAAACCCTAAAACCCGAAACTGCACATTTATAGGCATTGACATTGTGCCATGGCACTGTCCATAGTGCCATGGCGCTACGGACAGACTTCCATCGGCGCGCGCACAACAGGACAACACCGCAGGACTACAGTGCCGCGATGCTGCCTTTTTGACCCTCTTGCCCTACAGCGCTTCGCTTCCTCTATTTCCATCCCTGCTTCGTCCCGATGCAGCCCAGTTTGATCCCGACTCATCCCTAGCGAATTCCAACGTCGATTTGGCTCCACCAATCCCGACACAACAGCCATAAACCATCGCACATACGAGTTTTTCCTATAACTTTTGTAATTGCAGCTAGACCCATGACCACGGTAAGGGAAGCAATTGAAACTATTATTTTCATTTATTGAGGTGCGAACCAAATTCCAGTTCCAATTTTATCTTCATCCTTACAAATTCCATTTTTATCAAATTTATTCTCTCTCAAATCTTAGAATACAAAGAGTTAGATATGTAAAGTCTTTATCTCTTTGTTCTATAAATTAATTAAAAAAGTATTACTTTTTTTTTATCATAATTAATAACGAATTTCAAAATTTTTGTAATTTTTTATTTGCTAACTTTTTCTTACTCTTTCTCTCAACTTTTTCCTTATCAAAATTTGAGTCTTCTTGTCTTCTTTTCTCCTTCGGTATGTTTTCTCCTTTAGTCAACGTCTTGTGTTTTCTTATATTTTAGTTAGATTGTTTGATCTAACATTCAACTTTTAGTCTTTTTTTTTCCAATACAATGTTAGTAATTGTTATTTCAAAGAATACTTGATCATCTATAATATATAAGTAATTTATTAAAAGGCTTGAGAGATGAAACAGTTGCGGCTTTTTTTTTTTTTGTCATTCTCTNCTTCTCCCTCGAGGGACCCCCAGAAGACTCCAGCTCGATCACCGGGGCTGGATCTTCCGAGGCAGGCCCTGCCACGGCAGGGGTGGGCGGTTTCGAACTCTGGGCAGCCTCAAGAGCATGGGCTCGGCCCTTGGACTTGCGCTTCACGCCGCTTGCAAATCCGCAAACCATGGCTACAAGATAAAACAAGGGTCAACACAAGGTTAGAGGAAAAAGGGGGGAGGCAAGTTCGGCATACCGAGTTCAGAGTTCGGCCTAGAGGATTCGATGGGACGAACTGCAGGGTTGTAATCTAGCAGCCCGGACTCGAGCAGCAGTTCGTCAGTCACCAGGGTTCCGACCTTCCTACCYCTCGGAAAGCGCTCCTTGTAGTATTTCAGAGTATCGAAGGAGGCCTGCGTAAGCTCGGGGACYGGTCGGATTGAAACTGCGCGAAGACAAAATCCGAGTTAGACCTGAATGACAGAAGAAAATTACGAAAAGAAAGAACTACTCCGTACCTAGGTTCCCAAACCTAGTGGGGACGTCGAAGAAGGAACGACCTGACTCGTCCTTTGCGAGCCATTCCCCGGAAGCGTAGAACCACTTCCTCACCCATCCCTTGATGGAGGTCGGCCCCTTAACTATACCGYCYGCGCCTTTCCTTRCGCACATATAGAACCGACCAGGCTTCTTAGCTATCCTTTTCGCCTCGAAGCACGCGAGGAGCTGGTCTACGTCCAACAGCTCGGCCTCCTCACTATCCCGAGCTCGAAGCCAAAAGAGTATGGCCAAAGCGAAAATGACACCCACCCATTGGGGGCCACTTGAGCCGGAGCCAACCCAGTCCGGAGGAGGAATTCTTGAACAAAAGGGTGAAGGGGAAGTCTGAGGCCGTACTCAAACATTTTGAAGTAGAGAGTGACCCATCCCTCTGGAGGATGGTCAGCTCTCTCCCCCTCCTCCGGAAGCCTGAGGAGGATGTTCTCGGGGATAGCGAACCCCCTACGGAGGGATCCGAGGTAGTGCTCAGGTATCCTAGAAGGGTATTCCAAACCCTGACCTGAAGTGGAAGCATCGTTATCCTCCCCGTCATCGGAGATTCTAAAGTGTTCTATCTCCTCGAGCTCGGACTCTAACCTACGAGCTAGATCGGATCCTAGGTTGCTGTTAATAGAGGACGACATGACAATTATGTTCGAAAGAGAGAAGGAAGAGACCGACCTACCAAGGGTTCGAGCTGCCTTCAGATCGAACTCCAAGAATTCAAGGAACGTAAGGTATGATCTGAAGG